GGGGAGTGTGGTGCAGCAATGGGAGCCAAGGGGAAAAAACCCTCCTTTCAAATTGCTTATAAAATTATTACTATTATTACTATTAGTATTATTATATTATAGAAATTATTTTATTATGGAAATGATATTATTATATTATAGAAATTATCTTATTATGTTATGAATTGTTGTAAAAATAGATATTTATTTCTTGTGGCTCTGGAAGGTAATTAGAGTTGGGCTAAGGAGACTCTACAAGGGCGAGTGAGTTTTGGAATGTTTGCTGTGACAATCCTAACAATCCTTTTAAAAAATGAAAAGTGATTTTGGTTTAGGGAAACAATAAAGTTGATACAAGTGCTTAGAGTTACAGCCTTAACACTGCAGAGGGAAGGGCTGGTTGCCTTTTGGATATGCTGTAAATGGGCTCTGGTTCATCTTGTTCTGTTTTCATCCCGCTGTGGGTGTGTGGCTCCTTCCAGAGAGGTGCATGGTGATTTTAACTGGCCTTTCTCCAGTTTATGCTCTTAAAAATAGATGTTGGTACATCTCAGTGGGGAAGCTGTCAGCAGCAGTTGGTGTGTCCAGCTCCAGGGACACTGGGAACCAGCTGGAGAGAATCCCAGAGCAGCACCGAGCTCAGCTGGGATCCAGAGGTCCCGAGGGACAGCGAGAGTTGGGGCACTGCATTTACAGAGCTGCTCATTTTGTCTCTAGATTAGACAAGACTTTAGTATGGAAGAGTTTTCTGTGTCTCCAGAGTACAACAGCTGTTGGGGAGCTCTGTGTGTCTCCAATGTACAGCTAAGAATGAAAGAAGTCTCAGTAGTAGTGTGGAAGACTCATAGTGCACTTTGAAAAATTCACTGAGAGGCAGCAAACACAATGGCAGAAAATGTAATTATTGATATTGTGCTGAGCTGATTTATTCCAGGCTCCCTCCCGCTCCCAGTTTGTGTGCGTGTGTGATGTCTGGAAGTTGGTTTGTGTTGTTTCTGAGCATCAGGGGATGCAGGAGGTGCCCAGCTCCTTCCCAGGCAGTGTGGGTGCAGTGGGGATGTTGGAGCCTTGCTTCCCTGGCAGCTGGAAATGGGTTTGGGGTCCTGGGGCTTCTGACAGACTGTAACAGAACAAACTCACAGGATCCTGGAATGGTTTGGGGGGGAAGGGGCCTTAAAGCCCCCATCCTATTCCACCCCTGCCATGGCAGAGACACCTCCCACTGTCCCAGGCTGCTCCCAGCCCTGTCCATGACACATCCAGGGATGCAGGGGCAGCCCCAGCTGCTCTGGGCACCCTGCACCAGAGCTCCCCACCCTCACAGGAACAATTCCTGCCCAATCTCCCATCCAGCCCTGCCCTCTGGCAATGGGAGCCATTCCCTGTGTCCTGTCCCTCCATCCCTTGTTCAGAGCAATTTGGGTAGACTGTAATGGGCACCTTGATGTCGCCATACTTACTTAGAAATTCAGAGTTCAGAGGTAAACTGGGCAGTTCTCTTTTTGTTATATTAATGCTCATTTACCTCTAACGTTGTGCATTGTTTAGGCAGTTCCTTTCTCAGTAAGCCACATCCCTCACATTAGCATGAGGTGTCCCAAAGCAGTTATTTATTGTCTGTAAGACCTATTTCTAGGGTAGTTTGGGAGGGGTTTAGCAGCTGCCTGATGAAGGATGCAACCCCTGGCCTTGGCCTTGCAGCTGAGCTCCCTGAGGAGCCCTTCTGGTGTGTTGTTCATGTCCAGGGCAATATCCAGCTCCATATCCAGGGCAATATCCAGCTCCATATCCATCTGTTGGCCCATCTGTTGGGAGCTCTGGTGGCTCTGACTGCTCTGCCCCTCTGACACAAAAGGCTGGAGCAGTTGATTTTTGGGGGCCAGGAGGAGGGTGCTGAGGTTGGTAAGGAGCAGGTGGGATGTTGGTTAGAGGGGATCGGGGCACAGCTGGGCCCCCTTGGCCCAGGGAGAGGGGTCTGAGCCCATCCCTGAGCTGGGGCTGCTGCCCAGGGAGGGTCTGCAGGGCAGAGCTCCAGGCAGAGCTGGCATCTCCTCCTCCCTGCCAGGAATATCCCAGAGCAGGGCACGGGCTGGCACTGGCAGCTGCTGGGGACAGTTGTGCCATCAGCGTGCCAGGCTGGCACCACCTGCTGTCCCCAGGGGCTGTCCTGGCAGAGTCTGTGTCCCTGCTGTCCTTGGCAGGAGCCTCCTGGGCCTGCCTGGGGTTGGATCCAGGGAGGGTCTGTGTGCAGCTCTGCTGTGCTCTCCCCTTTGGGAAGGAGCAGGGGTTTGTCTCCCCTTTGGAAGGGAGCAGGGGTTTGTCTTTGTCTCCCCTTTGGGAAGGAGCAGGGGTTTGTCTCCTCTTTGGACGGGAACAGGGATTTGTCTCCCCTTTGGAAGGGAGCAGGGGTGGGTTTGTCTCCCCTTTGGGAAGGAGCAGGGGTGGGTTTGTCTCCCCTTTGGAGGGCAACAGGGATTTGTCTCGCCTTTGGAAGGGAGCTGGGATAGGTTTGTCTCCCCTTTGGGAAGGAGACGGGGTTTGTCTTTGTCTCCCCTTTGGAAGGGAGCAGGGGTTTGTCCCCCTTTGGAAGGGAGCAGGGGTTTGTCCCCCTTTGGAAGGGAGCAGGGGTGGGTTTTTCTCCCCTTTGGACGGGAACAGGGGTTTGTCTCTGCCTCCCCTTTGGAGGGGAGCAGGGATTTGTCTCCCCTTTGGAAAGGAGCCGGGGTTTGTTTGACCAGATGAAAGCCTTTCAGTGTGGGTTTCCCGTGGCTCCTGTGTGGCTGCAGTGCCCTTTGTGTGGGGAAGGTGTGTGCACAGCAGAGCTGATGGGGTGTTTGAGGTCAGTGCCCACATCAAAGCCAGCCTGGATCTGTCCCCCATCGGTGACAAATGCTCCCAGGGCAGCTGCAGTGCAGCTCTGGCCGCAGAGATTCCCTCTGCTGCTGCTCACACTCTGCTTCCTGAGCACACATTTTCTGCTTAAAGGTAGGGGGTGGCTTTGTGTTTCCAATTATTGTGGAAAGGTTGGAAAACTCTGCTGTGTCCGTGGGGCTTTGGCATTTCAGCAGGAGAGCAAAATCCTCTTATGGAACAGGGCATCATCCTGTCCTCTGGAATTCCCTGCTTAGAAACCTTTATTTGCTGCAGGATCATTTTTTGTGGACATGAGGGGGGAACCTGGAGATCTGTTGGACTTGATGCCTCTGTGGTCCCTCAAACCCCTGTGAACTGATTGGGAAATTGTGTGCTGTGTTTTACTGCTTAAAAACCCATTTGTGCTGCTCATTAGGATGCAGAAATGATGGAGGGGAGTCTTGGGCTTCTTTTTGAAGGGTTTTTCCCCTTTATTGTTCAGGGGACCTCGGGCAAGGTAATGGGCTCCTCATTAAAAGGATCTGCAGGATAGTGGCAGTGCAAGGCAGGATGAGAAGGTGTTGTCTTCCTTTATAGCTTCCAGCTGTCAGTGCCTCCTGCAAGAGGTAAAAATGGGAGCTGCAGGAAAAGGAATGACTGCCTGGAAAAGTTCACCTGTCTAAGAATAGGCTGTGCAAGGTGCATTCTCTTGTAATTTTCCTTCTGAAGGAAAATATCTGAAAAAAAATATATATTAAGTCAGTACAAGGATGCCACTTCTTCTGGATTTGTTTTTTTGAAGGAGGTTCATAGAATCCCAGACTGGTTTGGGTTGGAAGGGACCTTAAGGATCACCCAGTGCCACCCCTGCCATGGCAGGGACACCTCCCTCTGTCCCAGGCTGCTCCCATCCCATCCAGCCTGGCCTTGGGCACTGCCAGGGATCCAGGGGCAGCCACAGCTGCTCTGGGAATTCTATTCTAGGGCCTGCCCACCCTGCCAGGCAGGAATTCCTTCCCAAGATCCCATCCAGCCCTGTCCCTGGCAGTGGGAAGCTGTTCCCCCTTGTCCAAAGTCCTGTGCACAGCCTGGAGCTGGACTCAGTGATCTCTGTGGATCCCTTCCAACTCAGGATATTCTGTGATTTTGGTGTAATTAAAACATGAATTCCTGGGGGAGGGAAGAGGGCAGATTGAAATGCAGCTTTGAAATGTTAGCCTTCAGTTCCTTCCAGGCTCGTGTTCCTGGTTCAGGATTTATACCAGGACAGGACACTGGGGAGCCTCAGGGGGATTTGTGTCCTTTGAGCTGGGAAGATTTAATTTCTCAGCTATGTGCCTGCTCCTGAGAAAGTGCTGGGGGAATTCACATCTCGGGGTGGTCAGACACACATTGTAATTGTTTCCATTTGCTCTGTGGCTTTGTGGTGCCTTTGGCTTTGCAGCTGATGCTTTGCAAAGCTCAGTGAGGTTTGACTGATGTTTGGCACCACAGCTTTAAAACTTTGAGGGTCTGGGTTTCAAACTCATTTTTGAAGGGGTTTTAGAAGAATCTGATTTGAGGGAAGAGGAAAAGCTGAGAGTTACCCAGCGGAGAGAATGGGGTAGAACATTGCTCCGTGTTCTGCCTGGAAAAGTGATGTTTGTTCTCCTCTTGGCTGTCACCTGGCACAGCAAGGAGGTGACATCCAGTGAGTGAATACTGAATATCAGGGGTGACAAAAACTCAGCACCGTGGGAGGGGTTTAATGCTTCATGCTGTGATTTTACATTCACAATATAAATGTAATTTTATTGAACCTTGGGAGCTGCTGAGATTGTCCCAAAACATCACAAGTGCCTTTGTGTGGCTCAGCCTTTCCCTCTGTGCAGGACATCCTATTTACACCAAGGGCTGCTCTGAGGATTAACTGGGAGTTGATTAGAGCAGGAGGCTCTGTGTGTGTGTGGGCAGCACGAGCCTGGTCCTTTATGAGGGGCTGAGTGGTTAATCCTTGTCTGGAGCCAGCTGGGAGCTCAGCCTGAAGCTGGAAAATGGTTCTGCTGGCTGCTCCTCCTGTGCAAACCTCCCTGCAGCCCTTCCCAGGGATCCCAAAACGCTAAAACTCTGCTCTGCAGGTGCAGGAGGAAGCATTCCTGTCCCCACAACCTGTGTTTCTTGTCTTGCAGTACGTTCAGGCAGATGCTCCTACCAATAAAACCTTGGCCGGGCTGGTGGTGCAGCTGCTGCAATTCCAGGAAGATGCCTTTGGAAAACATGTCACCAATCCTGCCTTCACAAAGCTTCCTGTGAGTATGGTGTTGTTCTGCTGGGGCTCTCCCTGCTGCCACAGCTCTGTGAGTGCTCTGGGGACGTGTCCATGGCACTGGGACATCCCTGCCCCAGCCCAGGCTCCTGTGCACCCTCTGGAGGGGCTGGAGTAGCACAGCTCTCCTTAGTGCTCATTTGCACTGAAATACAGCTTCTCTCTGTATTTGAAATGGTTTCTGGAATGCTGTAGGAACATGCTCATTTCTGCTAAAACTCAGTGTAGTTCATCAGTTTTAAGTCAAATCTGATCTGGTGCATCCTAAACCGAGTGAGTAAAATGCACTTTCCAGGGCAAACAAGCTGCCATGAGGTGTTTTGGTGATTAAACTCCAGACTTGGGAGGTTGCCAGGGCTGAGAAATGCCCTTGCCACGTTCTGCAGCAGCAGCAGGCAGTGCTGGCCTGGGGTGGCTCTCAGTCCCCTGGGATCCAGGGAGCCAAAACAACATCGGCATTGTGAGGGTGCTGCTCCCCCAGGGCAGCCTGGAGCCCTGCCCTCACCCAGGGGTCTGTCCTGTCCTGGGCAGTGTGAGGTGCTCAGAGCTGCAGGAGGGCAGGGTGCCAGCCTGGGGTCCTGTCCTGGGCAGTGTGAGCCCCAGAGGAGGGCAGGGTGCCAGCCTGGTGCCAGCTGGGTGCTTTGGGGGGTCTGTGGGCCAGGACAGTGCCCTGATCCTGTCGGGGTGTGCTCAGCTTTGGCACAGATGTGTGCTGGCACCGGGGCTGTGCCTCTGGGGCTCTTTGGGGTNCCAGCTCCCTCAGGGATTCTGCAGCCCCTTCCCAGCTCCATTCCCTGGACTCTCCAGCCCCCCCAGGGCTCTCCTGCTGGAGGGGCCCAGAGCTGCCCCCAGGATTCCAGGGGTCCCTCAGCAGGGCCAGCACAGGGGACAATCCCTGCCCTTGTGTCCAGCCACTGTCACCAGCATGGAGCAGGTTCTGTTTCCCCAACAGCTCTGTTTGTCACTCCTCGATATCAAAACCCAACTGAGCAGTGACACCTTTGCACAATTTGGGTGTTTGCAACGTCCCCCCCAGCCATGGGTTAAATCCGGGGTCTCACAGGGTACACATCAGATCCAACCAGCAGAGGAACACGCAAAAATGCCTGAGGACTTTTTCTGAAATGACTGGGACTGGATTAGAGCCTGGGAATGTGGTTTAGTACTGAATAGCCCAGGGAACCTCCTGGAGAGAAGTTTGCCAACAGCGTTGGGAGACACGGCAGCCCCAGGGGCAGCAGGACAGAGGGCAGGTGGGACTGGCACTGCCCCCACAGGGAAATGCTGCTCGGGGTACAGCAGGGAGGGATGGTCATGGCCAGAGCAAATCACATAATAATAATAATAATAATAATAATAATAATAATAATAACCCCACTGCCCCAGACAGAGCCACAGCACAGCCACCTCCTGCCCCAGCCTCCTCCCTGACCAATCCCAGCAGCTTTGGCAGTGAGGGAGCTGCTCCAGCTCCTCTCACCTGCACCACTGCCATGGCCAGCACTGGGCCCAGCGAGATCAGCCCAATGTGGTAACAATTCCAGATGTTCCTACAGCTCACAAACAGGGAGGTCTCACAGCTCCAGCTGTGGAGAGGGGCAGCTGCCCCACTCTCACTAAGCCAGATGTGCAGGGAGCCAATCTGCAGCCCTAATCCCACAGAAGGCCAAGGCAGGGAAAGGAAACCCACACGTTTGTGCTGGGCTCACAGTGGATCAGCCAGCACAGTCCTGCAGGTACCAAAAGCAGCACAAGGGAACACGGGGATGGGATCTCCTCTCTGCAGGAGCAAGCACAGCTCATCCCACAGCCAGCCTCATCCCACACATCCTCCCTGGGCTGCCAGGGCTTGGGTAACCTCCCTGCACACTGCCCTGGGGAGAGCATTCCCTTTCAGAGAGCTTCTAAACCCCCTGCAGGAATCCAGGGTAAGTTTCAGCAATGAATCAGAAGCCAGCTCAGAGATCACTGGTACCATCAGAAACCAGAATTTCCAACTGAGCCACCAAATGCAAGGAGAAACGAGGAGCTAAGAGTCACTCACTTGAGCAGCACCAAGATGTGCCACCACGGCCTGCTGGGAACTGATTCAGGAGTTACTGCCATGAACAACCACAGGAACTGCAGATAATCCCACAGTGGTGCTGGAAAGATCCCTGAAGATCTTTAATTCATTTACTGAACAGCTGGGCAGGGGCACCTTCCACTGTCCCAGGCTGCTCCAAGCCCATCCAGCCTGGCCTGGGACACTTCCTGAGATGTTCAAGGCAAGGAGAGCTCAGAGAGGCTCTGTCCCACNATACTGACTAATACAATGGCACAGTTCAGTTTTACAAAGCCTGAGCTCCATGAGAAGAGGTTCAAGACAAATAAAGTTATCAAATAAAACCCTTTAGGAAAAAGGGAAAAAGAAAAAACAAAACAAAATAAGAAAAAGAAAAAAGAAAACCAGTGTTAGGAAGAATTGAACACTCAAAAAAAGTCTTATTATACCAAGTTTGCCTTCTTCTGTATTCACTTTTTAAAACCTCTAAAATTAGCTGCTGATTTGTCTTTGTAGGTTCTTTTACTTAACAACAACAAAAAAACCACTAAACAAACAAAAAAAAACCCAAATGTAAACACAAACCCAGATCTTGAATCAACACCAGATGAAAAAAAAAACCAGTTTTTTTTAAAGACCTGAAGTTATTCTGGCACTTGGATTACAAATTTTAAGGGATTGGTCCACTAAAATGGGAAAAATCATTCAAAACTGATTGCCAAAAATCATCCAAAAATAACCCAGACCACTAAAAAGGAAAACTCATCCTACTGAAGGGAATTAGTCCTGTGTTAATCTTGTGACAGCACATTGCACAAACTATAATTTTTACTGTTTTACCGTGATTTTTACTATTTGTTCAGGAATAAACTGAGGTGGTTTGGAAATCAAATCTTCAAGGAGGACTGGAAGGNGCCTGACACTGCCTTGGACACTGGCTAAGGAGAACAAAAAGCCTTTGCTGATGCCATCAGCCCCTCCAGCAACACCCAGCAGCCTGGCCCACAGCTCAGCACACAACGTGCACTGGTGACACTCAGCTTTGAAACTGCTTCTTGGAAAACACAGAAGAACCACCTGGATCTTGAGAAATGCTTGCAGTAGCCTTGGATAACTCCAGGGGAAATGCAGGAATTACTTTGATTTATGAACACGATTTGTCCATGAATTACCTTCTATATATTGGCCAAGGGAGAAGGAAAATGGTCTCAGCCTTACAAAAATCTGTGAGCCAATTTTCTGTAATTATACAGCAAATGTGCTATTTCTATCTACTGAAGCAAGTTCCTCTACGTTCAGACTTTGGCCTGCTCAGGAAAACTGGAAAAGTGTCCAAGATTTTGGCACTCTGCAGTTCTATTCCATTCCACGTTGGTGGGACTAACAGAGGGAGGAGCAGTAACACAACTCCCAAATGCACCATTCAATTCACTAATTAAAAAGAAAAGCAAAAAGCAAATCTCCAGCACCAGCCTGGTGATTTGGCTTCCAGTTGTTTCCTCTCCCACAACAATAACCTGGGAAATTCTGTGATAAGAGGTGCAAGAAGCACATTTTTATAATGCCCCCCAAGTGCAATTACCTCTGACAGAGGCAGTTTCTCACACTCTGAGGTGACTCCTCGGTGAAGATTAAATATTGAATCTGCTCTAGAGGGGAAATGGGATCTCTGACTAACAAAGCCCAGCGGTGGTGACAGCTCAGGCCTGTCAGTGTTCTCTCCCCAGCTGACAATGCCACATCCAGCAGCACATTCTGACTGTGCCAAGGCTGCTGGATCACCTTCAGCCCGTTCCTGCCCCAATTCCAGAGCTCTCACCCTGCAGGAAGCCATCCCTCCCTTGGAGCTCTGACTGAAACAGCCCCAGCTGCAGGGCTGGGTCTGCAGAATGTTCCCTTCCCAAAAGGGATTTGCAGCCACAGCTGAGGGTGGATGTCTGGGTGGGAATTGTGTCAGGGGGAGCACAAGGAGCACAACCCAACACTCCCCAAACAGCCACACATGACACCCAAACCACAGCCCCGACAGCAGGAAGGAATATTATTAAAAGCCTGTCGTGGAGAGCAGACAAGTCAGGGTGGGGCTATCAAAGAAGCCAATTAACTAATTAAAGTTCCTCAAAGCCAGTGAGGGCTTTAGCTTAATTTGATTGTGAAAGTCCAGGATAATTCCAAGCTAGACTGAAAACCACAAAAAGCAGACCCCAAAACCAAGAAACCACCCAGCTGGGGTGCCCTGGCCTCCTCCAAACCCTACAGATCCGAGGAGTGGAAACACTCAGGTACCAGAGCACAAACCAAACAGCCCAAAGGCTTCCTCAAGGAGGACACAGGAGATCCATCAGTTTCTCTCTTCCCTCCAATTCTACTGCCTGGAAAAGCAACAAATGAGCACCAAGGACAAACTGTCAAAGACAAAAGTCCTCAAAGTAGGATAAATTCAAGCAATAAATCCAAATGTGTTTCCAAGACATCAAAATTCCCCCAGGAAGAAAAAAAGCCCTGTGGCTCCACAATATCCATTTCACAAGGAATTAGCCCTGACATGTTCCACGGCAGAGATGGAGGGAGACACAGCAGGTTCCACCTGGCAGCTCAGCTTGGAGTACACCAAAGCTTTTGGGGAATTTGGGGGGTTTTACATCATCCCCAGCCATCCTGAGCAGGCCCCTTTCAACACACACAGAATAAACCCCACGGGCAGCTCCTGGCTGGAGGAGAGCTCAGGAACACTGAGCAGGCTCCTCCAAAAAAAGAAGGAGGAGAAGGAGCAGTGGCCAAGCTCCCCCTTGCAGCCACAGGGGCTGCTCAGGACCCTGCCCTGCTCCAGAGCTCCAGCCCAAATTCTGCTGTGGCTCTGCAGGACAAATTTAATCAGTGACACAGGAGGGCTCCTGGAGCCAAGCCAAGGGCAGGGGCAGCCTGCCTTGTCAGCCTCAGAACAAGGGGGAAGGGATGAGCTCCCCAAACCCCCGGTGTGAGCCAAAAACCTGAAGCCTCAGATAACAACATGGATCTAACAGTGACTTTCTGAAGCTGGCCTGGGCCTGAGTGGATTTCCATATTTGCATCCAAGGCCAATAACAAAGCAGCCAAATGATGACAGCTAATGAGACATCAGCCCACAAGCTGAGGGCTCAGAACCTACCTCAGAAAGAAGTTTTTCAAATGACATTTATGATCTCCCCGTGTTCAAGGAGCAGCTGGACAGGTAGGGCAGGTTCACAAAGCCCTGAGGGCTTTTATTTGTTCATCCAAAACAAATCTATTATTGGAAACGATTCCAGCATCACCACGCTCCCATCTCAAGATCAAGAGCCTTCCATGGTCAATCCTCCCTACAAACTGGGAGGATGAGTGAACTGAAGACCAAAAATAAAAGTACTCAGGGACTGCCTGAAAACACATTGGAAAAAAATGATGAGGGATGAAGTACAAAAGAGGAAAGAAAAAAAAAATCCTGGTTTATTCCTTTTCTCAGGCAACACCTGAAGCAGCTCATTAAACAATAATTTGGGGTGGTTCAGCACTTGCTTTAGCAGGGAGTTAATTTGCTCTGTTGAACAGCTTGAATGTAACAACTGAAAGACCATCCCACTCTGAACTCCAAGATAAAACTCAGCAGCTTCTGAAAGACAAATGGAACCAAAACCCAAAGAATCCAGAAATTACTGAGAAAATAATAACTTTAAAAATGATGGAGCATGGGGAAAAAAATACCTAACACAGAAGCATGAGGGTTGAGAAAAAAAAGGAAAACGTTCAAATATAATAACACTTCAAATTTCTAAAATGCAGCCCACGAAAGAAAACTGAAACCAAACCAGCAACTTTTGTAAGGAAAAATGGTTCAAGTCACAACCTCTGGCACAAAACCCCTCGCATCCCTCCAAGCTCCAAGTGTTCTCCACGCTCCATAACCCAACAAAAAGCGATTCAAAACACGGCACCGAACGCGAGTTTTGAACATTCTTCTACAGCACCGACAGCTCCGAGGGCATTCACCCTTCCTTCCTTCCCACCGGGGCCGCTCAGCCCTGACATCCAAGCGGGACCATCCTCCAGNCCCCAGAGGAGGGCAGGGTGCCAGCCTGGTGCCAGCTGGGTGCTTTGGGGGGTCTGTGGGCCAGGACAGTGCCCTGATCCTGTCGGGGTGTGCTCGGCTTTGGCACAGATGTGTGCTGGCACCGGGGCTGTGCCTCTGGGGCTCTTTGGGGTGGGAGCACAAAGCTGGGACCATTTCCAGCCAGTGAGGAGGTTGGAGCCCATGGAAGCTGAAGTTGGCCTGGAAACTTGGCAGAGCTCCTGTGGCTGTGGGTGCACGTGCCAGGACAGTCCTTGCTGTGTTCTGTGCTGCTGTGCCCAGGTGTTCTGCCCCTGTAACCTCTCCATGAGGGTGGGGCGTGCACACTCCTTCACTGAAGGGTTTTCACTCGTGGAGTGAATCCCAGAGCAATTCCCAGATGAATTTTAGAAGGAATGCTTCCCTTTGAGGATGGGCAGGCCCTGGCACAGATGCCCAGAGCAGCTGTGGCTGCCCCTGGATCCCTGGCAGTGCCAAGGCCAGGCTGGACACTGGATCACCCTGGGACAGTGGAAGGTGTCCCTGCCACAGCACAGGGGATAATGGCTGAACCTTAAGGTCCCTCCATCCCAAACCATTTGGGGATTTTGTGGCTCTCCTGGTGCTCTGGAGAGCACCCAGGAGCACCCCAAGGTGCCATTGGGATCTCACCACCTCTCCTGGTGCCTCAGTGCCAGTGGGAAGCTTCAGGGACAAGGGGAGCTTTGCAGAGCTTTATTTGGATGTGGCAGCACAAACCATAAACCTGCCCACATTCCTCAAGTGCATAAACCACTGGAGTGCTCCTGAGCCTTAAATCAATTTGTCTTATCTTAAAAATGGGCAATAAACATTGCAGTGGCATCATAAAGATGTTGTTCCTGTGTTTGTTCTCGCTGCTTCAAAGCTCTAATATGCCAGATTTGCTCAGGTTCATTTACAGCCCGTGGATCTCAGTTACTTCCAGCAGGACTCGGCTCCTCAGTGCATCCTCAGGAGTTGCTGCTCTTTGGGGTCTGTCATACTCCCAACATTCAGCCCTGGTGGTAACCAGAGCCTGGCCTTTGAGCACCTCCCCACACTCTGCTTCGTGCCTTGTACAGGTTTTTTATATTTACTGGGAAGCACAGTAGTAGTAGTAATAATAATAATAATATTTAATAATAATAAAGGGCAGAAATGAGCTGGGTTTGGTGTTTTAGGGCAGATGTGCAGCTCCTGACACCCAGCTTTCCCTGGGGATGGATGGATGGATGGATGGATGGATGGATGGATGGATGGAGTGTGGGACAGCTGAGCTCTGCCTCATTCCTGTGCTCATTCCTCATGATCTGGTTTGATGCTCTCACACAGATGAGGAGCTGCTTCCCTGACAGCTACACTGTGAGGTTTAATTTACTATGAAATGGGTGTTCAAAGAGTGCTTTGGATTTTTACAGCTCTGCTTGGAGCTTTCAGATACATCAAATTCCTGCAAACACAAAGAATTCTGCTTAATCCAAATATATTTAATCTTCAGGAAACATTCTGAAAGGAAAACCTCAAACTCCAGAAGTGTTTCATCTGAAAACTAACTTTTCATTTGATATGTACCATGTCTAAAACTCAGCTAACCCTTGTATTTGTTTAAAATAATTGCATGAAAGTCAATGTCACTGTTTTCCCTTGTTTTCTGGGTTCCAGGCAAAGTGCTTCATGGATTTCAAAGCTGGAGGTACATTATGTCACATTCTTGGTGCTGCTTACAAATATAAGAATGAACAGGGCTGGTAAGTTTTTATTTGTATTTTATTTATACACCTTTTGCATGGAACCAAGCACATGAATTGCTTGTGCAAACTACCTAAAGTTTAATCCTTCCTGGAGACTGGGGCAGGCAAGGCAGTGGAGATGGGAAGAGGGAACTTTTTCCTGTTTTGCTGATGGTAGCTTTTTTAAAACACACCCCCACACTTCTAAATTTAAAGAGGAGTTGGCCAAGTTTAAGGTTTTGGGTCTGTAGTTGGAGTTAATTACAAGTTTGAGGCTGTTTTTTTTATTTCCTTTCTGTCTGACTGAGAAAATGAACCAGGATCAGTCTCACATCTGTGAGAGATAAATCTTTGTTGCTGTATTGATTATTTGGTTTAGTTATGACTGGGAAAGCATAAAGCACTGCAGATCCTAGGAAATGTTCAGATCTCCATTGCTCTAAAAATGGGGAGTGTCAGCACTTAGAAACTGCCCCTGGAGCTGTTTGTACTGGCATGAAAATATCCCTGTGACATCCCAGGCGTGGTTTAACCTGGGTGTTTTTAAGTTACAATCCTCTTCCCAAGGGAACAGCAACATAAGATCATAAAATCCTCGAGTGGTTTGGGCTGGAAGGGCCCCTAAAATCATCCAGTTCCATCCCCTGCCATGGCAGGGACCCCTTCCACTGTCCCAGGCTGCTCCCAGCCCCAGTGCCCAATTGAAATCACTATTTTTGGCCTTGAAATCACTGTTTTTGAGAACACTGGGCAAAAAAAAACCCCAAAAATTAGGCTGAAAAGCCAATAAATGTAAGCAATCAAAATTAAGGACAGATTGTTCCTGTCCACAAATTTCAGTAGTTTCGATGTGATGTTTCCAATCTAGCAGCATTCCTGGAATTGACTGGGTTGTTTTTACACACAAGAGCCATTTAAAAGGCGAAACAAAGTTGTTTGAGGATGATAGGTTGTTCTTAGGAATGATTTCTATTCATATCTGCTCTGTCTGAGGTGGATATATCAGGAATAACCCACCCTCAGGGGCTTTCTTATTCCAATCCCACCAGCACCTGGGACAGGCACCTCTGCAGTCTGGTTTGTCAGCAGTGTCCTGCTGCCTCTTTCATTGCCTTAAGATACAGCAATGAAATGGTTCCAGCTTCAGGACCATTTGAATGGAATGAGCATTCCTTATATTCAATAAGCAAATGTGGTTTGCAGCCAGCTGGGCAGCCCAGCAGGGCTCTGGAGCTGCCTCCTCCCCTGTCCCTGCCTTGCTGCTGCCCTGGATTAGGTGGGTAGTGCCTGGTGCGTGTGCATGTGGGCAGTAATCCTGCACTTAACCCTGAGCTCAGCCCCAGAGCCTGGAATGTGCCCCCACTGACTCTGCCAAGTGATCTGTGCTGCTTGCCTGCCCTGTGCTTGATTTGATTTTTGTTGTGGTCTGCGTTGTCGCTCCTGCTTAACCTGTTTGTGACTGATCTGTCTTATAGGAGAAGTCCCCTTCCTCGCCACAATAGGTATGTCTGAGAGCTGGACATACAGCCCTGGCCCAGCCTCTGAGCTGAGCCCAGGAACAGTTAGTGCCATTTTGTCCACATGGGCAGCTGAAACAGTGCTGTTCCTCATTGTCCATGTCCTTCTCTGCCTGTCTGGGGCATGCAGCATTCCATGGATGCACAGTGCAGGTGTAGAGCTAAAAATGGCAATATTCTGCTCATGCCCTGGTGTCTTTGTGCCACAGGTACCAAGAGGTCTGTGGGTGTTTATTTGGCATCTGTCTCCCACAGAGCCATTCTGGGTGTTCTGGATACAAGCCATGGCTGAATACTGGAGAAGCGGCTCAGTCTTGCATCAAAATCCTCTGTATTAGAGTGTGAAATACCTTATTAACAGTGACCTGACAGTCTTGATATCTGGCCCTGCTTCTGAAAGTCAGGGTGAACTTCCAAAGCACACAACAAGGTCATAAATTCCTCTCTAAAAGGCTGGTTCCGATAAATGTGCCAGGATCTTCCATTTGATTTGTTTGCCATGTCCTCAGTGTGAAGGGTAATTTCTTTAGGACAGAAACCATCCCCCTGACAGAGTGTTGGTGGAGCTGCCCAGCACCTCAGGTGCTCCCACAGAACCCCTGTCTGGGCTCCTCCCTCCTGGAAATCCCTGGAGGAGATCCTGGAGGTCCCAGTGGGTGTCATGTTTGATTTAGTGGGGTCACAGAGCTTGGGGCTGAAAGCTTTGGGGCTGAGCTTTGCTTTCCTGAGCCTTCTCTGAGCCTGTGTGTGCTGGCACAAGGGATCTGTGCTGGGACAGGGCTGTGTTTGTGGGGAACTGCCCTTGGCTGGGAAGGGCTGGTGTGAGCTGGGGGGGTGACTGCAGCCTCAGTGCCTCGTGGGGAGAGTGTGCCAGCCTCCACTGCCCTGGGTGTGCAAGGCTTTGGGATTCACAGCTGCCCTGGGTGTGCAGAGTTTGGGGTTACGCCCCTGCCACTGCCCTGTGTGTGCAAGGCTTTGGGATTCACAGCTGCCCTGGGTGTGCAGGGTTTGGGATTCACACCTGCCACTGCCCTGTGTGTGCAAGGCTTGGGGTTACACACCTGCCCTGGGTGTGCAAGGTTTGGGGTTACACACCTGCCACTGCCCTGGGTGTGCAAGGTTTGGGTTTGGGTCTCGCCCCTGCCACTGCCCTGGGTTTGCAAGGCTTTGGGATTCACACCTGCCAGTGCCCTGGGTGTGCAAAACTTTGGGATTCACAGCTGCCACTGCCCTGGGTGTGCAGAGCTTTGAGTCTCACACCTGCCAGCCTTCCCAGACCCCAGCAGCAGCCTGTTCCCAAAGCTGGAGGTGCAGGCATGCTGCAGGTCCTGTTCTGCATCTGAGGACACAGCCTGAGGGCTCAGCACCTCTGGAGCCTTGGGACAGGCTGGATCCTGAGGGCTCAGCCCCTCTGGAGCTCTGGGACAGGCTGGATCCTGAGGGCTCAGCACCTGCTGGAGCTCTGGGACAGGCTGGATCCTGAGGGCTCAGCACCTGCTGGAGCCTTGGGACAGGCTGGATCCTGAGGGCTCAGCCCCTCTGGAGCTTTGGGACAGGCTGGATCCTGAGGGCTCAGCACCTCTGGAGC